GAAACTACGCAATCAAAAAAACGTTGTTTACATTTTTTGCGGGAACTCATCGCAACTGATTTCCGGACAAGCTTCGCTGCATCGTATTCCATCCAACGCACCGGAAACCTTACTTTTTTTCTAAATAGTTGGCCGAAGACTGAGAAATATATTAAATGCAAGAATTTCAATCTAAATGTGTCGGCAAGATCTTCTGAAGGCAAAATTTTGGCTACTGAAGCATCGCCAAAGATCTTGCAATATTCATCCACTCTCTGCACAGTGGATGCCAGACACGCAATCCGCAGCACCTACCATCAAACAGGATAATGAGGGATGGGCTGGGTAAATCAGGACTCAGGAGAGTCATCCCACATTTTGTTATTTTTGTAGAAATGTTCTAGCAACTGAACTAATAGAAAAAAATTTGAAAAGTATCTGTGCTAAGGTCTGTAGCAAAAAAAAATATTTGCCATATTAAAAAATTTTACTTACATAAAAGTTGCACACAGGTGTAGGCTTAAAATCGTGATTGACTGAATTTGTATATCTAATTCTAAAAGAAAAGGCAGCCATTTCCACAAGACAGGGTATTACGGGACACCCTCCCAGGGTAATAAGGGACACCCATAAAATTGCATTTACAGTAGAACCTCAATTAGCAATGGCTTCAGTTAACAAAAAATGGATTGACAACTAAAAATTTTGATTACATTTACCTTGCTCAGCGAAAAAATATGACCAAACAGAAAATTAATGCATTGTAGGTCATCACAATATTGTGTATAGAATGTCACAGATAGAATTGGTCACTGGGAAACATAGAATAAAAAGTAATTAACCTGAACTATGATTTATTTCTCCAAAGAATATGATGGTTGTCTCTAAAATAGTCCTTTCTGTTTCAAATATATTTTACAATATTTTTTTATAATAAATTCACTTGACCCAATTAAAATGGTGTGAAATTACAAGTTGTTCTGTAAGCTTACAGATACAGATAAAATGCTACATATGACTGCTGATATGAAGCTTGCATTGGAGAAGGTCATTGTAAATGCTAATGGTATAATCATAGATACAGTAATATCACATCAGTACCATCAACCGGGGCTACTCGAGACTGGCGGGGCTACTCGGGACAGTCCTCCGACACTGCGTAAAACTGTTATAGTAGCAAAACTAATTGAAATATTGCAAAACTAAATATAGTGGCATAAATGTCAATATTTTTCCTATCTATGTACCGTAGTATAAATGAAGTTGAAAAATACTTCATTTACTAGCTTTGAAAAATTCCTAAAAAAATGGTGAAAATTGCTATTTTGAAAAGTTACTTCTGCTAAGGAAGGTCTGTAGCCAAAAAAATATTTGCCGTATTAAAAAATTTTACTTACATAAAAGATGCACTCAGGTGTCGGCTTGAAAACGTAATTGACGGAATTGTCCTATCTCATTCCAAAAAAAATGGCGGCCATTTCCGCATGGCGGGCTACTTGGGACACCCCCCGGGGCTATTCAGGACACCCCCCGGGGCTATTCAGGACACCCCCAAAAACGCATTTACAGTAGAACCTCAGTAAGCAAAGGGTCCAGTTAAGAAAAAAATGGATTAAAAACAAAGAATATTGATTACATTTACCTCACTCGGCGAAAAAAATTTCACTTATCGAAAAATTAGTGCATCATCGGTCATCACAAAATTGTACATAGAATGCTATATATATAATTGTGCACCGGGCATCATAGAATGAAAAGTAATTGACCTAAACTATGATTTATTTCTCCAAAATATATGATGGTTGTCACTAAAACATTCCTTTCTGTTTCAGGTATGTTTTTCACCTGTCTCTTATACACATCTAGATGTGTATAAGAGACAGGTACTACGTTGGTAAAAAAATGCGCCGTGCGCCGTACTTTAGAAAGCTAAAATAGTTCTACTATTTTAGTCGACAATATACACGAGTATATTGACTACGCGAGTCGAACTGACAATAATAAAATATAAGACATGTCCGGGTTACTTCTGACTCTTCCCTGTCTCTTATACACATCTAGATGTGTATAAGAGACAGTGTTTAGCACGTGAAAATTTTTTTAATTTCACCTTCTTTCGTGAGTAATATGGCAATACGTGCAGAAATTTGCAGTGAACGAAACATTTTTAGCTCATTTTCTTATATATGAAAAAAAATGCCCTATTGTGCTCATCATATCTGCTGTCTCTTATACACATCTAGATGTGTATAAGAGACAGATGAACAAGACAAGGCGCGGTTAAACCGACTCTGTAGTCAGCACGAGTGCCTACGGAACGGGACCTTATTTAAAGAATTATTGGCTGAAATTCATAAAGTAACAACATTTGGCGAATTCTTCCAAAAGTCGTAACAAAAGTAACAACATAAGATCTAATAAGCAAAACGTAACACTTTTGTTACAAATGTAACACCTCTGGCTAGAGGCGGGAAAATGATGCGTTGTGAAAAAAAAGTCGCGCTAATCAAAAATGGCACCGTGTAGATTAAGGGTAGGTTGCAAATTTTTTTCCGCGTTAATCAAAACCGCGGTATTCAAAACCGTGCTAATCAAGGGATTACTGTATAGATATATTGATCCAAAATAAATACACGAAAGAAAAAAAAAACAAAAAAAAAAACACATAAAAAACATCTTTTTTACTAAAAAAAACACTCTGGAAAAAAAAACTTTTTTTTTGCATCTCTATGTACGGTCAACTGGGGTGACATTGGCTGCGTTTTTGATATATGTTTTGCAAACAAAAGCGGGGTCATAAATGATGGCCAAAGTCACTCTGGCATTTATGACCTTGTTTACAACCCTGGTGTTTATGACCCCGGCGTTTATGACCCCGGCGTTTATGACCCCATTTTTGTTTGCAAAACAAAATAAAAAACGCGGGGAAGTCACCCCAGTTGACAGTAATTAATGTTTATGGCAATATCAATAATGGAAAAATAAGTAAAAATCACTGAAAATGTCTTTTATTCTACCTCTACATCATCTACAGCAGTGGTTCCCAAAGTGGGCGATATCGCCCCCCTAGGGGCGATAGAAAGATTTTGGGGGGAGGACTAAAATAGGCAAACTCTGCATTCATTATTGACTTCATTCCATCACTTCATAGCCTGAACTGCTTCAATATTCTCAAAATAATCATGCCACGCCGAGGACATCCACACTAAACAGGAACCGACTTAGGTTTCCCTGCCAGCCATAATGTTTCCATATGATGAAAAATCCATGAATATGTTTGTAAAAAACGAGTAACAGTTTCAGTGTGTAAGCTATATTAAATCTACAAGCAAATTTTTCAAGCACAGTCTTGAATACAAAAGATATCTTTAAACAATAAGATTATTTGATGATAAAGTGCCGATTACAGACAGATATTATTGATGTGGACCTTATTCCAAACACTAGCCACTGTATAAAGTGATACGTCCATGCCAGTATTAGGGGGCCACTCGTTCCCGAAAATGCGATCCCATGTTGTACCTCACCGGATCAGTGACCGTGCAGAATATTTTATTTGTTCTTACATTCAGCAAAATAAAGCAGCGTTCGGCACTGCGTTGTGATCATTTGTTGCTGGTGTTGTGGTTCCCCGGTCTCATTTTTACAAGAGACCCCCCTCGCGCAAGTACGACACCAGCGACATGGGGTCGCTGCAGAGCTGTAGGGTCGAGGTTATGTGGTGGTGATCATTTGTTGCTGGGGTCCCCAGGAGCGCCCCAGTCTGGTGGGGCCCTTGCTACGCATCCCCGACGGTCGGGTGAGTCTGGCGGAGGGCGAGCGTCTGCTGAGGGAGCACAACCGCCTGCCTGACTTCCTGCAGCTGCTGAGGGCGCGAGGGCAGCACGAGAAGGCCCTGGCGCTCCTGCACCAGCACCAGCACACCACGCACCCCTCGCCTCTCAAGGGACCCGCCGAGCTAGTCAACTACTTGCAGAATTTAGGTGAGTCTCGAAAGTAGTTGACTCGAACTGGTGAGACCCAAGTAATACTGTCCTCAGTCCTCCGCTTCAGCGCGCGAGACCCAAGTGAGTCAGTCCACATAGTGGCATGAGTCAGTTTACTTACGGCAGCGATAGCATCCAGCGTCACGGCTAGAACCAGCCAGGACGAAAATTCTCCGACCGAGACCGAAGATTCGAACATTCCTACAAGAGCGGCAACAGTCCACGTTGAGTCGAGGCTCCTGCTCCTAAAGTAAAATCGAGATGAGGACATAAGACGGCAGCAGCGTATTCTAGATTGACTTTGTATTACTTGATTTTCTCGTGACGCTGCCATGCATTTCAGGTACGTAATTTACTAAATATTTGTGCACGTTGATAATAAAGTACTACCGTACCTGATTCAATAATTGATTCAAGAAATTTTTGTGATTGAAGCCACTTAATATCGACCTTTTTGCTTGGAGAGATGTTCGTGTTTACTTGTACTATTGCATTTCTATGAGAACTCTTTTGTTGGCGTTTTTATGTGTCTTTTAAGCCTAGCATACCTTTGTCCATCATCCGAGTGCCTCGCCCACTCACTAGAGTATGTCAGTGNATAAATATCATGTCGTTAGTTTTCTTAAATCGCAGTTCCACCAAGAGTTGAAAAGCAAAGAAGACGCCAAGAAAATGCACCATATCTCCGCTTAAAACGTTCTGGAGACCAGCTCCATTATCAGTTTATGAACTGTTCAACGTAAAGGCGCGCAGCAGAGTGAGAAGGCCTGTAGAACATCTTCATACCTGAAGACCAATTGTAAAATTATTCGTCAGCAAATCATGCAAGTTGACATTCAGAAAATACTTCAGAAATGAGATTCTTATTTCTCTGAAGATTGTTTCAAACGAGCTACCTAAGTAAGGGAAAGTACTATAAATAGTCTTACTATCAGAAATTAAATCAGAATATCTATTTGTCATAAACGCTTTATATTGCGAAATACAAGGCACGATGAAATTCATTCAGTTTGAACATATTACGAATAAACTCAAATTCAGACAATATTTCAGCATAATTGGAGCAAATGCTACCGGTATTGCCCAAGCCGGTCAATTTGCGGTAGTACACAGAAGTCTGAAAGAGACCGTTAAAGTTAGTAACTTTACAATCGAGAAACGATAAACTTTTGTCGGTTTCTATCTCCAGATAGAAACCGACAAGAAAATAAAAGATAATCATTTAATATTTGTTTTATTTCATTTATATTTGTCTGCTGCATGTCCTGCTTTCATAATAATTACTTTAGCGTCGACGACTCATTCGTATTTTTTAATGGTATGCAAGCTTTAGGCCAGAACATACCAAACTCACATGGACATTTTTCATCCCAAATCAAACTTTAAGAAACCTAACCCACCCTCATGGGCTAGCAAGATGAAGTGGCGAGGACGCGAGTGAGTTTGGATAGAGTATTAGGCGAGGTAAGATACAGCAAGGACGAGTTTGCTTCAGCATTAAAGCATTGGCTGAAGACCTACGGCGCCATTATCTTTGAGGAGTGCATCTCTGTTTTGGTTTACGCTGTTCCAGCGCAGTCCGTGGCTTTTATCTCTGAGCTTGAGAGTAGTTATTGCATGATGAGGCTGGGCGTTGGCTCCAGAGTTCAATTTGTGGTCCACAGCTGCGACCCTTTTCTTGGTTATAGTTTTGTGAAAATCCATTGATCATCCTGGATCAAATAAACTCTTCTTATGCTCCTTTGTTATTATTATTCTACGAAGTAGTTATAGTGGCGTATAGTTCAAATAAACTTCGAGGCCACGAACTCATGATGCTTTAAAGCCACTTCATCAAAATTCACTTTTACAGCAATTCTCATTATTATTTTTTTTTGTTTTATTTTTTTATTTCTCATTATTATATCATTACCCACCATTGCAATACCAGTTACAGGTTAAAGCGGGCTTGTGTCGTAAGCGAGCTTCATAATTAAACACAAATTTAGCAAGCTATACAGGATAATGACGTAACTATGATACAATATTACCATAAAAATGTTCTTCTTTTAAATAAAACAAGTTTCAACTTCATAACGTTCTTAGTTTTTTATTTATTAACAAATTAAAAGGGTTACTTAATTCTGAAACACCCTGTATATCTGTGCTTGAGACTGATTAATGTTGTCCCACTACGAGTTGGAAATGCCCGAAGCTTTCAGAAATGATAACTCTGATCCATCATTGCGAGGCAAATTCATCATAATTATATTAATAATGCCAGCAGCTGACAAGATATTTCCCCTGCATATGCTGGACAGGAGCACGTGATCCAGGAGTGGGGGGACAGGTCGAGCAGCCTGCACAACGAGCTGGTCAAGCTGTACCGCGACGTGGTCATCGAGGAGACCACGAGACTGAAGAGCCGTGCTGCCGGGGCCCACCTCAGCGCCTGTGACGAGGACCTGACCGGTGAGAACTTGCAATAGCGGTTTCAGCGTTTATTAGGCCGTAGGCCTGTCGCCGATTCTGAACATCGCAGAACATTCACTGCATTTTGCGGTCTCGAACTCGCAACTCACTGCTCCAATTCTGCTGTGCTTAAGCGCCCGGCCTCCTCGCTGATTCTGACCAGAAACTGGCGCACAGAGCTGGGATCGAACCCGCGCCTCTCTGCGCCAATCTTGGTACTCTGAATTGTAACCACTGGGCCACTCTGCCCAACGATAGGCTTTAGTTACCATATAGGCAATGATAGGCATTGATTACCATAGGAAATGATACCTATGCATTGTATACCAGAGACAATGATAGGCATTACTTTCTAGAGTGGTGTTTGTGATGGCCGCTCCATCATTCGACGGAGTTATAGATACTGCTTTATTGTTTGATGTTAGTAATAGCTATTGCATCATTCGAAGAAATGATGCAAATCCCGTATTAGGATGTGTTAATGTTGACGAACGATTTCATGTACAACAATTCGCAGGCCACAGAAGTTTTGGAGAAGATGGATGATTGAGAGAATTTTTTTGTTGCTTGGTACAGGTGTGGTAATAATGATATTGAATCAATTAAAAGTGTCAAAAGTTAGTATCGAACTCTTCCTTAAATTGGTGGTTTGAAGAAATCAGGAATGTTATCAGTTAAAAAAATATTAAGAACTCTAAATCACTTCCCTGCCCAGAACCGATGTTGCGATTTCGTTCATAATATCAGTAATAAATGAAGTACTCCACTTTCTTGAAAGTTAAGTTTCGTCCACATCGAGATGAGCGTTCATCGCGAGGACGTTCTCCGGCATTTACGGAAGGTTTTTCTCTTGTGGGATAACCTCTTCGGCAGGTTTTTCTGGGTCAGATGTAGATCTCAAATGACTAGGTAATGTGCCCTGGTTTCAACCTGTTAATGGAGACGGATTGTTCCGCGCTGTTTGGGGTTTGTTCAACGAAAAGTTTGGGATATCTTTTCTGAACCTAAAAATGATCCGTGTATGGCGCTTCTAAAAGGACGTCCATTTATGACTGGTATTATTCAGCTCCTTTTAAATGTAGGCAACTACATTCAAACTGAGGATTTCGGCAACTACTCAAGAGAAGCCACGGCGAGGTGATGCTATGTCCGGCAAAATGTTATCAAGGCTTTCAAAACATGAGTTTTTCCTCTCTATTTGGCGAGGTCACGGTCACGCCTTATGAAGTGTGACATGGGATGGCTTAATTTAAAGGTTGTTTTTCGAGGTTGGCAGTGTAGCTCTTCAAGCTCCAGCAAAGCCAGTTAAGCTACGCTCTCGGTAGAGCTTCTTCTTCAAGTCCGGTCGTGTTCGTAATGTTCTGCAGACCTCGGGAGGGATCTGGTCTGTACAGACAAACTCCTGCCAATAATTGTCTTAGTGTATCCTGGCCGGTGTGCTCACTTAACATTGCCACTTCAATAAGACCGTAGGAGTGGACCCTGAACACCAAGTTAATTTTTTATTGCGGTTAATATTACTAGGGATTAAAGTATCAATAATTGCAGACTCGTGCATAGAAAAGCACCTGCCTTGTAAGACGATGTCTACAATGGCTTCTCGTGGAATTTCACACCCAGGAACAGCTGTCTGGTTCAGGATGCCTTTCGAAAATTCCCTTCCCCGATCAACTTCTGGGCACCCATTTTATGTCTTGAACAGGAGCGGACTTTTACTTGCGACTTGAAACTCGCCATGTGGGCGGTCCCCTTCGTTAATTATTGTCTTGTGTCTGTCCCTGAAATAGCTACGTACTATTTATGATTACACTCTCACAATTCCCTCCCTATATTTATCTAGAAACCTTATCGATTCGCGTGAATTTTTTGCAGGCAGCGTGTCCAACTTGAGCATCACTTCCCCCGACAGCCCACCCCATCCTGCCCCATCAATTATGCCCACCGACAGCACCTCCCGTCCTGTCCCCTCGACGGGTCCCCCCGACAGTTCTCATACAGCCCCCTCAACGGGTCCCCCCGACGACAACCCTGACCCTGTACCTCCGCTCTCGCACATCCACCCCGACTTGAGGTTCAGCTTAGAAGACATCAGGGACAAGCTCCTGGAGTTCCTGCGCATGTCCAAGTGTTACGTGCCAGCCACCGTGCTGCTGTGTCTGCCTCCCCAGCACGGTAAGAACCATGCAAGTGTTACGTGCCAGCCACCGTGCTGCTGTGTCTGCCTCCCCAGCACGGTAAGAACCATGCAAGTGTTACGTGCCAGCCACCGTGCTGCTGTGTCTGCCTCCCCAGCACGGTAAGTGAGAACTGCTCATAGGCTGCCTGCTTATTCTATTCATGCAATTAATTGCAATTAATTTTTATTTATTCTATTTGTTTTACGATTAATTCTCCATTTTTTCTTTCTATTTATGAAATGAAAGGAAATTACTAGCTGAGTTACATTTATTAGCGTGATTCTTACATTATTGCGTATTTGATGTTAAAGATATTTAAAACTACAGTCGAGTGTAACGACTTTGAATTTCCGACGTTACTTCACTCAAAGTATTCACTAGTTAATGAAACAAATGTATGTCTTTATTTCTGTAGCTTTTCATTCAATCGTCAGTCCACGTTTGAACCTCTCTGTGACCACCACCCCTACTGACCATCATGACCTACCATAACAAATATGCAGCTAATTACCTCCCATTTTATGTATCTATAATTTATCAGCTAAGTATGTATTACCATTTTACATAATTTGTCATGTAATTACCTCCTTGTAATTACCATGTAATATACCATGCAATTACCATCTAATTATCATGTAATTATCATGTAATTACCACGTAATCCGACGTTACTTCGCTCAATTTATTCACCAGTTAACGAAACAAATGTATGACTACCTATATTTCATTACCTTTTCAATAAATTGTCACTCGACGGTTGAAGCTCTCAGTGACCACCACCTCTGCTGAACATCATGACCTACCATAACAAATATGCAGCTAATTACTTTCCTTTTTATATAATCCACAAGCTAAGTACCTACCTACATACCGTTTTACCTAATTTACCAAGTTAAGTAATTACCTCCTTGTAATTACCTTGTACTTACCATGTAATTACCACGTAATGTACCAAGCATCACCATGCTTCAGAGTGCCTGCTGGGGGCCCGGGCTGTGGTGCTAGGGGCGCTAGGGCAGCACCGTCAGGCCCTGCAGCTGTACGTGTCACAGCTACACGACCTCCCCGCCGCCCTCGCCTACTGCAGCGCCCACTACACCGGCCTGGGTGCTGCTAGCCAGGTGTTGTGTTGTGTTGTGTTGTGTTGTGTTGTGCTGTGATGTGTTGTGCAGCTCCACGACCTCCCCGCCGCCCTCGCCTACTGCAGCGCCCACTACACCGGCCTGGGGGCTGCTAGCCAGGTGCTGTGTTGTGATGTGTTGTATTGTGTTGTGCTGTGTTGTGCTGTGTTGTGTTGTGTTGTGCTGTGTTGTGAGTTGTGCTAAGCTGGCTTACTCTCATCACAATCCTCTGCACAATCCATCAAGAGTACAGGACGCTTAAATAACCTCTGAAAGAACAGCAAGACCTCCTTATGACACCACTCTGACCTAATGGAAAACTGCTGAAGATCTTTTGATTATTCCAGGTGCAACAAGTGCCCTGGAGAGAGCAACTCCTGTCACCTCAAAACGGATAACAACAACAACAACAATCCTCTGCCTTACTTTCCAAAAATAACAAATCATAAAATATTTCGTCAGGGCTCACATTGCCGTGCTCATCTCATGCTTACTAGAATAACTTGATGTGTTTGCTGGATGTACTGCAGGTTCATTTATTATATAAAATAAATGTGGTGCAGGTTCATTTATTATATAAAATAAATGTGGTGCAGGTTTATTTGTTCCTGCTGGAGCTGCTGATCCAGTGCCAAGACGTTGCTAGTCTGCTCAGCTCCAACAGCCGCAGCGCGCGTGAGGCAGACAACCGTCATGAGGCAGGCAGCAGACGTGATGAGGCAGAGGCAGACAACAGAAGCGATGAGCAGGAGGCAGACATCGGCCTCGCCTCCTCAAGAGGAGGTCAGACAACCCTCTTGCTGGGGTCTGATTCAGACCGTACAGATGATCCCGTAGCCTGCGATAAAAGACGCTCATATAACCGTGAGAAGCTCTGCTCTGATATTTGCCCTCCTGTCTGCGACTATAACTTGGTTTACTGTATAACGTGACATATATAGGACGGCAGTTTATGTTGTTATTGCATTTAATCAATTGATTTGCTTTGATTATCTCCGCATTACAGTAGTATTGGGTAAAAGTTCATTAACGCTTCCTTGCAGAAATGTTCATTGAAGTAAATAATATCTTAGAAACAATACTATCTGTACGTACCTGCCTCCTCAGACGCCGGCGACCAGCCCGGGGCTCGCACCCGCAGCTCAGCGGAGAGCGACGCAGGTTCCCCTACACCTCAGGATAGCCCACGTAAGCCTGCACACCTAGGAGAGGCTAGCAGCCCCTCCTTGATGTGCAGAGGTGCTAGGAGGTTCATCTTCTTGATATTACTAATTTTTTGTGAATCAATCACTCTGGAAATGCATCTTACTTGAATTATTCATACTTGAGTACAATGACTATTGCGTTGCTGAAACTACTAAACCTAAACCTTTTAAGGTCTCTGCCAGCGAGTCATACGGTTCGTGGACGATTGAAACGACTAAGGCTAAAATTCACGTCGATGTTACTTAAGAGACTTGCAATAATTACTACTTGCAAACTTGCACAATACAATTACACTTTAAAGTCCAGATGACTTATAACGTTAACACAGCAACGATGGGCACAACAATGGTAATGATGAAGTCGCTCCCTCCTAGAGTCAGACTACATCTGAGGACAGTTCAGCTTGTATATTTTTCTCTGCAGTCGTTCTCCGAGGCTTGAAATCCTACAAAAAACGAGGCAATTTCTGGCCCGCTACAGCGTAACCTCAATTATGACTTTTGCTTCAATTCCTAAAGGAATAAATTGAAGTTTTTTGTTTCGCGTGGGCCCAGGAGGTGGAGCCCTGGTGGGCCCAGGAAGCGGGGCCCTGGCGGGACCAGGCGGTGGGGCCCTGGTGGGTCCAGGAGGTGGGGCCCTGGTGGGCCCAGGAAGCGGGGCCCTGGTGGGACCAGGCGGTGGGGCCCTGGTGGGTCCAGGAGGTGGGGCGCCGTCGCCCACCCCGTCAGAGGCAGCCAAGTTCGACATCCTGCTGAGCCTCCTGCACACCTACGCGCAGTACATCAAACTCAAGCCCGTCAGTCGTTATAATCAAATATCTTTCATAGTTATTATCTGCAAATATATAACATCTACGCTTTATATCTACAACATATAGCGCTACATTGCATACATTTCGTCCTAAATCTACAGCAGATTACGCAACATCAAATTTATTTTATCCACGCTTTATATCTGCAACATTTAGTCCAACATTGTGCACATTTCGTCCTAAATCTACTGCCCATTACGCAACATCAAATTTATTATATCTTCCCTATATATCTACAACATAAAGCGCTACAGTGTGTCTATTTGGACCTAAATCTACAGCACATTACACAACATTACAACGCAGTTACAACTTTTAACTGCAACACGTAGAGCCACTGCTTGACAGCACCGCAGTAACGCAGGCTCGCTGTGCAGGCTGTGCAGTTACTGCCCGACAGTCTGCGGGTGGCGGAGCTGCGCAGTTTCCTGCAGTCGTGGCTGCGGCAGTTTGCCTGCGCCCGCCGCAGGATGGCGCTGCAGACTGGCGTGGCAAGGGCGCTTGTCAGGCAGGTTAGTCGCTTGGCAACTTGGCAACAATTGTTAAATTGAAGTCCTGAAGCCATAGTTATGTTATTCTTTGAAGTGCATTAGCAATTATTCACTATTTTTTAAGTTCTGATGGAAGCATCTATGTTAAATTTAAATGCTGAAGCAATAACTATTTTATTTTGAAGTGCTGAAGCAACTATTCACTATTTTATAAGTGCCTGTAGATGAATCTATGTTATTCTTCCAAGTGCTGAAGCCATAACTATTTTATTTTGAAGTTCTAAAGCAACTAAAAGACCTACACGTCGCCCTGCCCGCAGGTCACGTCTGACTTGTGCCTGGCGCAGAGCAACAAAATATCGCTGTCGTCCCTCAACAGCTGCTGCATCTGCGGCAAGCGCCTTACGCGCTTCAGGTGACTTAAGTGAAATTAGGCTCTTAAGATTACATTATAGTGAAATTAATTAATGAACAATGAAATTATATACTTACAATTCAATAAATGCACTAATCAGCTAGCTAGCCTCCGTTGTTTTCTCGAATGCTTGCCTATCCGAAATTTAAGACAAGTACTACAACAATTATCCTCGAGTAATCTTCACTTTTTCTCATGGGTCATTTTCGTATGAAAATTACGTTGTTTTTCCATCACTTCACTTATCTGGTTTTTTCATTGCATACCATTTATCCTAAGAAATTGTGTAATTATTCTTTTTAGTTATTGTCATGTAATTTCCCTTGAATATTTGTTCCTTTCCTAATAAAATAGGACTTTTCACCTGATAAAAACATGTTCAGAGTAAATATGTCCCTCAGCTTTTGTCTCCTAAAAATCACTTGTCTCCTAAAAAAATATCCCTTGTCTCCTAAAAAACTATCCCTTTTATCCTAAGGAAATATGTCCCTTTTCTCCTAAGGAAGTAAGTAACATATTCTTTTCTTCTAACAAATGGTATATCTGCATTTAACTCTCATGCCTCGCTCTGTACCCACATCGCCCGCCCCACTTCTCTTTTCTCCTAAGAAATTACGTCCATTTCATCTTGAAGAAATATTTCCCTCTTCCCCTAAGAAAATGTATTCGTTTTCCTCTTAATAACATCAGTCTCTAGTTCACATAATGCGCTCTATACGTACGTCGCCCGCTCCACTTCTCTCTTCTCCTAAGAAAGTATGTAATAATATTGTAATTTAATATGTACGTAATAGTAAAATATTTCCTCAATATTTTATAATGAGGGAATATTTCCCTTTTCCCCTAAGAAAATGTATTCGTTTTCCTCTTAATAAAATCTTTCTCTAACTCATATAATGCGCACGTCGCCCGCTCCTTTGTGCGCAGTGCGTTCGTCTGCTCGCCTGGGGGCGCCGTCTGCCACTTCTCCTGCCGGGACCGCCTGCACGGCGCCTGGGTCGCTGAGGTCCTCCACGCGCGCCACAGAAACGCGCTCGACGAGCGCACACGCGCAGCTGTCGCCGCCTCGGGTCCTGGCGTCAGCGTCCCGGGTCCGAGCGTCAGCGTCCCGGGTCCGAGCGTCAGCACAAGTCCCGGCGTCAGCGTCGCGGGCCCCGGCGTCAGCGTCGTGGGCCCCGGCGTCAGCGTCCCGGGTCTCGGCGTCAGCGTCGTGGGCCCCGGCGTCAGCGTCACGAGTCCCGGCGTCAGCGTCGCGGGCCCCGGCGTCAGCACAAGTCCCCTCAGCACAAGCTTCGTTGCTATCACTAGTCTTGGTGTCAGCCCCGCGAGGCCTGGCGTCAGCGTCGCGGGTCTTGGTGTCAGCTCCTCGAGCCCTGGTGTCAGTAGAAGTCCCGGCGTCTCCTGAAGGCACTGGGCTCTCTAGGAGTTGAAACGTTGATTCATCGGAGTAAATATTCATTTATTAACATATATCTATGTCCGTAGTTGCATGTTCTTCCAAAGAACCCGTGGGCAGGAAGGAATTAAAATCAAAATTAGAAATTCACATCCAAAAAAATCTTAAGCCTGATTCGTCAAACCCGGGACGGTTAGGTTAATAAACTTCTAACCCAAAAACAGTAAGCTTGGGTTTGAATGCCATATTTTTAGCCCAAAAATGTTAGGTTTGATTTCTATACTTTCAACCCAAAACAGTTACTTTAGCAAACTCTGTTGATCCAACATGTCCTGACAAGGGGCTACCCACACGACGGTTTGTTCAAGAAGCTTTCTTATTTCTTGTTTGTATGTATTATTTATTTCTGTTGATCGTGTAGTGAAAGAGATTAAAGTATAACTTAATACGATAGTGACGATTGTGACGCTCATATGTCTGTGCCTGCGCAGATGTCTGCGAGTTTCCATGTAATATAAGTCAAAATTTCTCTTTTATAAATGTTATTATTGTTAAGATATTCAAGGTTTAAGATAGAAATTATATTATTGATGCCATTCTGTTTTAGTTCGAAAAGTTTTGTGCGTGATGACACCGAACATTTATATAACTTCCCACTCTATCATGCCCCTCGCCTCCACGCTACCCTGCCTCTCGCCCCACTCTAAAAATATATATCAAAAGATTCAGCGCTGTGGCTACCCTCGCGGCTGTGAACCTGAGCTCCCAGGCCTGTAGTTGCCTCAACTAGAGCATATCACGCTTCATATATCACGCTGTTACTAACATTAACTAGCATTACAGTCGTCCATTGTTGTAGTTATCGTGTATCACTGATCGGCGTTATCTTGTTACACTTGAAGTGTCACCCGCTGGTGTTAGCTATCACCCCTGCAACACCCAGCCTCGGAGTCATGAAAATATTCACTGTCTAACGCAGGATAATCTGGTTAACGAGTTAACGTAATTGGATGCATAAAATTAACTAATACTACATGTAAGAGGATAATATGAAAGTAATACTTGGTGGTGTTCGGCGGGTGTCTGGTGGTACGGTACCCTACTTATTGTTTTACAAACATGGCAGCTGAGACATCATTCGCATATGTTTCCGCGGAATCTTTATAATTTAGTGTGAAAGGAATTTAGAATAAGTGTATATTGTATTATGTATGGAATTAATAATAATGTAGATATTAAACAATTGACAACGTGATAATGAATTGACGTGACGCGAAGTGAGCTTATCTCTCATGGGGCTCTTGATCCCTTGTACCTCGGCTGCGATAAGAAGCCTCCATCTCAAGTTGTAAGGACAAACTTCATTTTCTAAATCACGCCAGCGCTCCTCCATCATATTCGCCCGAGCTGATGTGTCTCTGTCCTCGTGCTCTGTCATGAGCTCGAGTGGACGCTCCGGCAGCCGTAGCCTTCTACCATGATGCATTTTTTGGCGTGCATTCTTCCAGTGAGCCGCAGATTTTCCGGAATTCATCGCTCGAATTCTTCATTCGCTCCAAACTCTTGTCTTCCATTTGTAAATGATGTTGGACTGTCAGGTACGATGTTACACTCGTAGATTTCCCCTACTTGTGGTACGAGTCTCTAATACAAATGCTGAAGCTTTACTATCAAAATTCGCATAAGTAAACGTAGCGGCCAATTTCTCGTCTGTGATTGGTGGATTTAGCTTGAAAAACCGTCAGTGATGCACAGACGGAGTTGCGAATTCATGACTGATGGTACAGCCCCTGAACATCAGGAGGCTTCAGCCAACAAACTCCGTTTGTTTATCGCTTAAGAATTCAACTCAAATTCTGTCTGAATAAAACTTCTCGTGTTGTTCACGGTTAAACTAATACTTCCCTCCTGTTCGGCTGATATTCCGTACTCTTACGTCACTAATTGACTTGATGCTTCTTGCCAACATAATTATTACTGCCAAAGAGTGCCTATGGTTACTTATTGTACTTCTATAACCGATACTTTCCGTTCTACTTTTTGTGTAAAGTTTCAGATCATATAACGTTTAAAGTTACGGTCCGAATTCGAACCGTCGCGTCTACAGTTCAAGCAAACTTCACTAATTCTTCAGCCTGTACAATATGACTATGATTACTTTAATTGAATATTTTTAAAACTATGTATTGTACATTTTTAGTCATATATTGCGATGGAAACAAGAATGATTGTCAAGACTCAGCGTTGATTGCACAGTGGGTCATGTCCCAGCTAACATTCCGTTGATCATCTTGCAACATTCGTTGCAAAGCTCACATGTTCTGCTCTTTGTACACAAGTTTAGCCATTTATTGATGATCTGATTAGTTGCTTAATAGTGAACCAATGCGTATTGATAGGTTAGGCCAGACTCATTAGCGCTGCTGGTAAGAGGACGATATATTTATTTCTGGTGCGTAGGCCAGATTCTTATGGTAGTGGAAACAAACTTTTTATTATAAAGCAAGTTTACGACATCGCGTTTCAGTAAATACTGCCCGTTATGAGCGTTTTTGGACTAACAAATTAAAAAATTACTCTTCATATTGACATTTTACGGTGTTGTATTTGAATGAGTTTTATTCCAATTTTAAAATTAAACATTGAAACATGGGTATACTTTTTCATTTTATTTTATAGTAGCAATAAGTGCAACTACGCTCGCCGTGCATCTTATCAGACGCCAACACGCCTGATGATCGCAACCTCCATATCTATTCCTCGCATTTCCCCTTAGAGAGGACTTCTGGCGTGTCTGTGCTTGTAGAAGTCCTATGGAATTCCGCGCTCCTTGGGTGGTTGTTCCTGAGCGCCCCACCGCTGAGCTCGCGGTGTCTGACTGCAGGTCTCAGTTGTGGGGTTAAGTTAATATGTATTGTCTGATAACTCAAGATAAATTTATTGTGCATGCATTAATTTAGGTTTATGGGGTCGTTCAATACCTGAAACGAGACAAAAAAACATAGGGCGACATTAGACACAAATGCATGAAATAATATTAGTTTGCATGATAAGCATGAAAGACGACATATAATAACCATGTTTGCAATAAGTGAAAACAATAAATAAATGAAATCGATAATAGACATTTGTGAGCTGAAACACATGATCTTGGTCTGCCCTAAGATTACCCCCGGTAACACCGTCTGTAAACAAAGTTTTGTTGGAGGGTAGCCGGTCCCCTTAAGTAAAATCTAAAGGCTTTATCTATAAATGTAGCGGTAGCGCTGTAGTGGCAAAACCTCGTATCGCTACTTAAATATGTAGCGGGCGCTACCGCTACATTGCCTTAAATGTAGAGCCGCTACCACTACTGAAAATGTAGCAGCCGCTAGTAGCGGCCGCTACATGTAGCGCGCTACTGCCCACCTCTGGTTACAGATGCCAGCAGGGCTGGAAAAGTCCTATTTTTGTCTGAAATATTGCAGCTCTAATATCATAAAATTTCAGTAGGTATGAAATCTCACGGCTCGAATGTCATAAATTTTTGTTTGATGAAAAATCGCGGTTTGCACTTTGCAAACATGTCACTTCATAAAATTTTAAACTTCCACAATCTGTTTTGCTTTACCGTTCCTGCCAAAATATCCTGCAGAAAAAACATAAACATCGTAATGTAAACAAATCAACTAAATGTTTTGTTTAAGATCATGCATAGTTGCGGTCATGTCAAAGCGGTCAGACTGCAGTAACACATGCTCAACTTACAGTAAAGACAAATTTTATCTTTGCCATTTGACTATTTTAGGGTAAAATTAAAGATTTGGGGTAACACGTGCATGGACTTTGTAAATAAATTCGCCCCTCGTAAATGGCTTTTCATGGCCAAGATATGGAATTCATGGCTTGGTGAAATGGAATCACGGATCGAAGAAATGGAATCATGGCTGGCAAATCCATAAAACCACGGCTCGAAAAATTCAGTCGCAGCTCGCCAAGTACCTAGATATATTCCATGCCTCATGCCTGGATGCCAGAGATTGAGATATCTTGCTGAAGGCTGTAACTCTCCCAGAAGGTGTTTGCTCTGTGTTGGACCTCATGAACACCCAGTGTGTACCTCAGTGGAAAAGCTCTATGCAAATTGTGGGGGTTCTTATCAAGCAAATTCGTTAGTGCCCATACATCATCAAAGCTATGGCTATTGAAAAACTGCGTGCCTTTGGACTGTCATATGCGCATGCTGCCAAGGAAGTGGACTCACGCCACTCAACTGCTTGTGTGCAAACTCCAAGTCAGGCTGGAAGGAGTAGGTACTTCCTATTAAAATGCACTAAAAGCCAACAGATCTGATCTCAGCTCTTCTGAGATGGCCTCACCCTGCAGAACAATTACTGTAGACATTCATAGAACTCAGCTCAAGTTTCAGTCCAGCTCAAGTTTCAGTCCAGCTCAAGTTTCAGTCAAGCTCAAGTTTCAGTCAAGTTGTGAATCAACCACCTTCCAAAACTTCCCTCCCATTGGGTACAGAAAAATACAATAAGGAAAATAAATCTACAATAGATTTTTGCAAGATAATTAAGGAAGAACTTTTCTCATGTGAGAAAAGGTTAGATGATTCAATACATGCATTTCTGACTGGATTCTCAATCAAATTGGGTCACTTTTTACATTAAGTCTTCAAGATAAATCTACTTAATGAAGGGGCAAAGGAAAGATCACTGCTCCTAATCAGTTTGCTAAGGAATGCCTTTGGACAGGAAATCAGTAAGGTTCTGTAGGGGGAATGACTTCCTGCCTGTACAGCAGTTTTTGATTAGGGCCCTGCCTTACTGGAAGTCTCAGCCAAAACTGGTGCTCCTAGTGCCTCGCAGCTCAAAAAAGCTGCTGGCTCTGAAGCATCTAAGGGACCAAAATCTTGTGGAAGCACATTACTGGCTCAGTCTCCTCAGCTAGTATTTAAAATTTGTGGTCAAGCTAAGGGTCATGGCAAGACAAGGAGTACAAGAAAACAATCACAATGAGTTTTACAATAAAATCACTGAATCTGCACCAACATCTTAGGAGCGAATTAGGGCTAGAAATAGTGCAACTCAATTGTCATGGGCTATATGGGAAACTCACTGAGTTTAAGTTGTATCTTTACAAGGAGAAGCGAGACGTGGTCTGCCTTTGTGAGACATGGGTCCAAACACATGAGCCCTCTTTTGTTGGATACTTTGTTTTGTGGTCTCATAGAGCAAATGCAATGA